AAAATAATTTGAGAATGGGTAGGTATTTAACTTTTTAGTTCAGTATTTTTTTTTTTAATCCAGGACTGTCATTCATCAGTTGATGATAAATATGAGGTGGGGTCACATGTTCACCATAGTTAATCTGGCATTAGGATTTGTTCAGCATTGTTTGCACAATTAAACATTTTATTGTGTTTTCCATGATTTTAATGAAAACGAGTGGCAGGCTGGAAATGAAATGCTGATCACAGAAACGCATAGGCCTCATAAAACTAATATTAATTTAATTGATATAAAGATAAGGGTTGTTAACCCCGCCAGAATTAGAGTATCGTTAACTTCAAGGAAATCATCTACATTTAATTGTGAAGTGGTGGGAAGCACAATTAAGAATCATGTTTATGTAAAGGCTTGGTTTTTATGATGTAGGTATGTATGGTGCCTACATCCTTGTACAATCCCTTACCCTTGAGTGTAGGTGGGGCCTGGACCTGTTAATATGATGGGAGCCACTCCCTTGAGTAGGCTGCATTACATGGTAAAGGTGATCACGCTGTGTTACAGTGGACTCCATCACAGACTAGAGTAAGATTCTCTTACTGGTTTTGAAGAAGCAAGCTGCCATATTCTGAGAGTGCCACAGGACTGGGACCCAAAGGCGGTCTCTAGGAGCTGAGAACAACTCCGTGACCACAGCTGGCGAGAAATCAGAGCACCTCAGTCCTACAACTGCAAAATGAGCATTTAGGCAGGTTGATACCTTGCTTTTGACCTTATGATACTCTGAGCAGACAACAAGCTACACTCTGCCTGGACTTCAGAGCTACGCCAACTGTGAAATGATAAATGGGTGTTACTGTGAGTCACTAAATGTGTGCTCATTTGTTACACAGCAATACCAAACTAATGTAGTACGCTATCATGAAAACAATGAGTTTGAGTAAAACAGGTGAGATACGCAGCATCTAGGGGAGAAGTCTGCTGTAAATGAATCCAGACATAGAACTCAAGACAGGCATTTTAATGGCTCAGAGCTGGAAGGAAAGGATGGAGGGGGGCAATTTATATGAGAAGAAAGGCATGTCCAAAAGCATGTCATGTTTGTATTTTTGTAAAGAAAAAGGAAATTAACATTTATTAATTAATTATTTTCCATTTATTGTGTTGGATACTTCCACAGTGATGAAAAAGCTGTTTTGAAATGTTTTATTTTTCTTCAAATACAACAAGTAATCATGTATCCTTTAAACATGTAGAAATAGGTGTTTAAAGCAAAATGATATTAAAGCCATGAGTATGGAAAACTATTAAATTTGTATCATGAACTCAATATAATAACTATATGCAAAAATTAATGTGCTTGATGAGTACATCTATATCTTTATATATAATACAGCAATACATACAAAATATATGTAAAACATATTTTTTTAAATTAAGGTATGACATATGAAAATGAGTGTTTTGTATGGTGTGCTCAGAGATTGTGAAAAGCCTAGTTAGTAGGTCTATTATCCGCACAGGGCCATATTGTTCTGAAGATGCACATACAAGCCTGGTTTCTCAGATGCTTTCACAGTCTAACCCTTTAAATGATACCAAATGTAAATCCTTGACTGCATATTTAGATCAGACAACTTTCAACATGAGAATAAACACGGGGTCATTCTTCACCCCCTACATACACAAGAAGTACTTTCAAAGAGTATCACACCATCAACCTACAAATCTGCTTAGAGTTTTTTGGTTTTGTTTTGTAGGGTTGTTTCTTTTTCCAAAATGGAGAAATTATAGGAATACATTTTCTCAAGCTCTAACATATATTCAGGAAAGTGTATAAATAATGGAACTCATCCGGGTAACCAGCATCTGGAACAAACGAAACAGAAGCGAAAACCACCAGCAACCAGAAGCATCCCTTATACACCCTTTCCAGTCATTACCCCATAAGGATTATTATCACTATCCTGACTTCTATCACCTCAGACTAGTGTGAACTGTATATAAGTGGAATCGTACAGCATAGATAGTCTTTTGAAACTAATGTTTCATGCTCAACATCCATTTGTGAGATGTATCCGTTCTGTTGCATGATGCAGTACTCTGTTCTTTGTCAGTGCTGTATAGAGTTCCATTGTGTAAGCAAACCTACTGATTCTATTGCTGGTGAGCACTGGGGTAGTTTCCGAGTTTTAGCTGTTATGAATGCTTGTGTATAGGTCTTTTGGTGAACCTTATGTATGTATTTCTATGGGGCACATTAGCAGGAGTGGAAGTGCTGGGTCACAGAGCATTGTTCAACTTGAGTAGATATTGTCAAATAGTTCTCTAAAACAGTTGCTCTAATTTATACTCCCATCAGCAGTGCCTGAAAACTCCTTTTGTTCTAGATTCCTGCCAACATTTGGTATTTTCTGTTATTCTCATTTTAGACATTCCGATGGATGTGTAATTCCATTTGGGTTTAAATTTGTATTTCCCTGATGATTAAATAAACCGAGCAAATTTTCCATATATTGAATGGCTGCTTGGATTGCCTCTTTTCTAATATGGGCACTCATGTCTTGCCTTGTTCTCATTGATGTGGAGGAGTCCATTACATATTATGATTGGATATTAAAACTTAAAATTTTCTCTTTTCAGGCTGTCAGAGAAAAATGTAACATAAGCAACATCTGGATTAAAACCGAAAAGCCTTAAAACAGCTTCTATTCTCTTGTAACACAGGTTTGATAAGGGAAAAGAGAGAGAAAAAGTCTACCTTTAAATACTTAACTCAAAAAGTAGGCAAAATGAAAATGGGTTTATACTTTCTGACACTGGGAGAAACCCACTAGAAAGCTGTCATAAATCACAGCAACTTTATAGCAATAAAATAGTCACATCGTTGAAGCTCACTATTTCATAATTAAAATTTCATTGTTAGATACATTTTGCAGTTTGTTCACAGGAAGACATACTTCTGAGAAAACTGGTAAATAAAAACTAGTTAGGTTTTCCTTTTAAAAAGGTCCAGATGAAAGCCTGACTTCTGGTTCTAAAAAGGCTTTCATTTCAAACCAAAATAGAGGTGACAGGTTAGCTCAGTTGGTTGGAGCGTGGTGCTCATAGCACCCAGGTTGCTGGTTCGATCCCTGCATGGACCGCTGTGAGCTGCACCATCCTTAAGAGTCAACTATGCCATTGTAGCATGAAAGCAATGTGCAATCAATGACCATGGCTGTTCCCCAATAAAACTTATATAAATAAATAAATACATAATAAAACAAATACACACACACACACACACACACACTAATAACTCCTGAAATAAAGTGGTGTCATCAAGGATTGACCTAAACAGTTCTATTGAGGCACACGGATCAACTTGATACACTTCTGCCTTTTATATTACAATAAACTCCCTCTGCAGAGCAAAATGTTACCAAGGGAGACTGGTTTTTAATCTTTGTAATGACACTGACTCCAACTGGAAAAAAACAAGCTATTTTTTTGAAAATGTATCTTTAAAACTTGATCATCAACCAAGTATTTACTGAGTCCTATTTTAAAAGATAAGGAAATGAATAAAACTAAAACTAAAATATATTTCAAAATTTTAGTAATTGTGGCTATGCAAGTATTTACAAGGAAAATGATGGTATTTGTAAAACAGGTTGATGTTTATTGCTTCAAGAAATTATCATGATGTTTCATTGAATTTCAAGTGGAGGTAAAATGCTTCAAAGAAACTCTCAGGATGTATGTGAGCAAATTATATGGAAGATAAAATAAAGATTTTAATACATTAAAAACCCCCTTAAATGTCAGTTGTGTAAGAGTCTCACAAAAATCAGATCAAATACTATGTGATGCAATTTCCCAACCATATGCGAAAAAAAAATTAAATTATCTATTACCCTTTCTCTGGGTGATCAGTTTTCCATATTTTGAGAAAATTCTAATAAGAAATAGTCTATCACCATACTGAGCAAACTCTTAGAAACGAGCTCTTTACAGCAAGCTCCTGGTACATAAAAGATGATTACCCTTCCCTGTTAGCCCACATAGTCACACAGCCAGGTTGTTTCGTGGCTTTTCTTGCACTCACTTTGACACATTGATTCCTTTTTGTTTTTTCTTAAGAAAATAAATTATGTCATTTATTTACCTGATACTCTATTCTAGGTGTTAGAAAAATGAGTTATTGGAGCAGGGAAACAAATACTTTAACATTCTCCTGACTCAAGAGATCAAAAATCAAATCAACTACACACAACCCATTTGAAGTTATCAATTAGCAAAATATTTCCAAAGCCGAATATTAAGAAGTGAAAGAATATTCCGTCTTTCTAGCCTTCGTATTAACTAAAGGTAGTTTCTGTGGATAGTTAACTATGCAGCGGTGCTGGTAAGCTTTTCAAAGACACTCAACAGTCTTTGGAATTACATGTAAGACATCCAAGTTAGCAACTTGTCCAACAGGTAGGCTCTCCGAGGTGACACCTGATCCTGAATGACGCCTGCTTGATCCTGGCAGCTCGAGTTCCTGACTTAGCGACAATCTGCCCTAAGAAAGAGCATAGAACCAGGTAACTTTTCTTCTTCAAAGAACAGGGCTGCAGTAACCTAAACTAACTTTCCAAGTTGCCGTGTCAGCAATTCATGGACTCATAAAATACTGAAAGCCTGAGAATGACAGAAATGTGGAGCTAGAGTCAAGTTATTGATAAGAACTCCACACTGGCTCCCTCTCTATGTGTTTAAGTTTCTGGTACTCCGAATTCAGCTGAATGGTAAGGTCTGAGCAGGGGCCAGGAGGGCACCAGAGAAGATACAGACTTTCATCTGAATTTTAATGACTGACTCAGTAAGTCTCTCATACTTGTCAAGTATGTACAAAGAAAGTATTCTCTGGCAGTGCTTAAGGCTTCCAAACACAAGCTGAGATCATACCCATAATTAAATGTGGAATTTTGATTGGCAGAATCCCCATCAGCACTTAAAAAAAACAAAACACAACAGACAACTAGAAGGGTTCATATTGCTCAGTCATGACTCATTTTCTTGAGTCGCTGTTTACTAGGAAACAACAGGGCACAATCAATTTCCTCCCTTCTCTGCAGAAAGAATTAGATACTTTAAGAAAGTTTATGCAGCTGAAGTGTAAGAATGTGCGGAACCTTATTTCACAATAGTCACCTGCTTCTTCACAAAGCTGATATACAGAGAACTGAAAACAAGACAATCACGTACAACCACTAGAGGGCGTGAGAGAACAGAAAGAACAAAACGAGTCTAACTTTTCCTCTTTAGAAGCTGCGGAAGGTCAAGGCTGGAGCAGAAAGGGAAACACAACCATGTTGTCTACATAAGGATTCCTGGCGTTTCGAGTGGATAACCAGGTAATTTTTATGAGTAAAGAATTAAATTAACAACTCAGAGTGTTTTCCACGTCCAATCTCAAGACCCTGCCCCTGGCCTGTCTTGTCTTCACTTTTGTTTGAAGAGATTTCACTCTTATGGTGTTAACTGGGGTACAAAACACAGAATTATACCCAAGAGGTAGAAGAAACTGCAGCAGGAAAGGAGCTATGACACTTCCTTTGAATGAGACAAAAGTTTTGATTGACTATAGCCAAACTATTACCACAAGAATGTCATAGCTATATTGCAGAGCTCTTAAACTTCATTGAAAATTTAATATATAAACTATATTTATGTGGAGATACATATATGTGTGTATATATAATTTCATGAAAAGAAATTAAAGAAACTAATATCAAGGGAAAAAACCATGAGTAGTGAAAATGGGCCTGCTTTCAAGAAAATGTCACAAGAAAATTATTCAATGTACATAGAAGAGTTTCTTTTCTCATGCCACTCATTTCACTCTATTCCTATTTAAAATTTGTCTCTAGTCACAAAATGGGTCCCTTATTGTTGCTTTTCTCTGACACAGAAAACCTAATCCTGCATAATCTAACATTTTTATTCAGGAGAGAAAAAGGAATATGTGTTTCCTTCTAACATGGTAATAAGTTTTATAATGATTAGGTTGGTTAGTAAAGTAATTTTTTTCAAATTAGGTCAGTAAACTATCAGCAACAATAGATTAATGACTTCTGATTGTTTCTGATAGGGGGAAATATACTCAGACCAAAGGTCCACATCTATCTGTCTATCTATCTATCTATCTATCTATCTATCTATCTATCTATCTATCTATCTATCATCTATCTATCTATCATCTATCTGTCTATCATATATACACATAATACACACACATATCATGGCAGTCCTTTCCATGCTCCATGTAGGATAAGAGAGGAGAGAGAAATCTAAGACCTGCTGTAATACAACATGAACCCTGTTAAGCTGGATAGAGCACTATGAGCCCATTTTTACAGCCATCAGCCCTCTTATAAACAGTATGCTTAAGTAATGGGTTCCACCATAAGACAAACAGTCTCTTGTTTCCTACTGGGTGGAGAATGTACTTTGTAATTTGGTTTCCGATAGCCGAGAGCAATAATGAAATGCACTTCTATTCCTTTATTCCTTACAACATACTGCTCGTCCCCACAGCCTTGTAAATCACAAGTGCACTTACACAGACCCAGTCGAAAGCTGGAATGAACAGGTCAAGCTTTAACACAAAAGGACGACATTACTTCACTGTGGTTATAGCCAAGTCAAGCTAACTCGTTCCCAGGAGTTGTAAAGAGCCATGACAGGCCCTTTGACAGCGGCTATCTTTACTATTTAGCGCACGAGAATAGTGCGGCCTCTCTCAACCCCACAATGGTCGCCAGAAAAATGGAAAGGGCAGCAACCTTTTTTAGGAACTAAATGAAAATGTATGAAGACAGATGTTCGCTGTCTTTTGTGAGTCTCAAGACTCTTCACTTAAGTCATATTCAAACTCATAACTCATGAGATAAAGTAACAGAGGACCCTTATCAATGGAGAGAAACAGAGCTGGATCTTGGATAAGGAAGCGATTGGTCCAAACAGTTGGGGTAATTTTTAAATGTCATCTTAAATTTAAAAAAAATAAACATAGAGAAGGCTGAATATGGGAAGATTTTTTGCTTCCAATATATAGATAGAAGTTACAAAACTGGACATTAACATCTAGAAAAAACTTTATTAACTTAATTACTACAGAAAATTGCTAAGTCCTAAAGTCTTTAAAAAATTAAAATCAACTTGAGTTTTAATTTGATATACCGATATTCAGAATATGCTACAGTTATGCAATTATTTATATAAAAGCAATACACAAACTATAGTCATTTTCCTTAGCTGAAAGCTTTTTTTTTTTGTCTTCTGTAAATATTTTGTTATATATTTTTGGTTTTGACCAAGAGCATGGTATCGATAGGATTTGATGACATCCATTCCCCATTATCTCCTCTCCATGGATTTCAATCTAGGCTTATGATGCATTTGGTCTACTTAGGCAATAACCCATGGTACTTGAGACCTGCAGATACAGCACAGATAAAAAACCCCACAAAGCCTAATGTAACTGATTCCAGGAACAAAACAGTCCACTGAAAATCAGGAGATCTAGATTTTCACTTTGATTCTGTTCCTAACTCTGTGATCTTGAGCAAGAATTAAATCCCTTAGACCTCAATGTTCTCATTGCAAATGGAGAGATTGGACTGTCCATGATGGCTAAAGTTTCTTTCTGATTTAACTTTCAGTGAGCCAATCAGTTAACGTTTGTAACTTGTCATCTAGTGGCAAAAGACATTAAAAGCCTACCTTGGGCAGAAAGGACAAGCCAAGTTCTCATTTGAATGCTCTTATTGTTGTCGATGGATCCAACCTGTTGAACTTCCCAAATGACACAGATTTATTCTGAGCTACTAAGATTCAATCCAGGCTGTTGGAATCTTACTTATGCTCTATACCTTTTGTCTCCCTCAGAGAGAAACGACCTGTACCCATTCCCAGGTATCTTCACGTTTCATAAAGAATTTTTGGGGAGGCTCCAGAATAAGAATCCACTTCAACTTATTGAAAGAACAAGTAAACGCTGCGTTGGAAATATTTTGCTATGATCATTGCCCTTTTCATTGGTCTGAGCTCCTCAGACGCCTATGCTTGTGCTGGATTTGTCATGGAATGCTGACAGCCACCACACAATATTCCTGTGACCTCACAGTAATGAAAACCAACCTATTTTTTTCTTAAGCCAATAATCCCAAAGGTAAACAGCCATTGCATTTATGTAATTTTTAAAAGCCACACTCCCTTTAAAGATATACAAACTTTTCATTTCGATCTCAGACAGACTCGAGCAACTCTTACCTGGGGTCTGCATCCTGGGAAGTTTCTGGGTGCTGCTAACATGATCCTTCCGGCATGCCAGTCAGAAACTCAAAACACTCTGTACACCGCACTCGCCCGCGCTCCCTTTCTCCCCCGGCCCCCTCCCTTTCTTTTGCTCACTCTCTGTCTCAGACAGTTTGGAATGCAGAAAAGCCAGAGCCAATGCCAGTCAAACTCAATTCTTTTTTTTTTCCCCCCTCCCAGTGTATTTGCTAGAGAGCGCTAAACAATAGCCACCCTTCCTCACTCGCTGCGTCTCTTTCACAGCACTGGGTGCAGGCAATCGGCCTCAGAAGCAACGTGACTTACCAAGCTGGGTTATTCATTTTTTCCGTCCCAAGGGGCAGTAGGGTGAATGTGTGCATCTGTGTTTTAAGAAGTGATCTTTTTTTTTTTAAAGCAACCTTTTTCAAAAGCTGCCCTATTTTAGAGACAGAAAAATAAAATAAATTTCAGAGATTCTTATTTTGAATGTTCTTAAGCTGATTTAAAATATAAACTTTTCAAAGTACAAAAATCAGGTAAATATCTTATGGCTGATGTACAGAGTGTGTTCACACACACATTACTATTTTGATTCGTTTACTCAGTAGATCACCTTAACTTATCACAGAGGAAATATTTTAAATTCAGAAAACTTTTATTTCCCTAAAACCATTCAGTATGTAAGCTAAAACTTCATTTTAAAAATAAAGAACAATCAAAAATTAATTTTATAAACTGAGTGGCTCTTAACTAATTAAATCAACTAAAGGTGAAGAATTATGGATAATATTCTTCTCCGTCATCATTTTAATTTGTTTTAAAATCAAACATATTTCCAGGGTAGTTTTTTTTTTCTTCATTCCGAAAAAGGAAGGCAGGTCAGTGATGTCATCTTTATTATTGGTATGATGACCTAACATTATGCAGCTGCTTAGTTGCTGAGGTTAGCATGTCAGGACGGATCAATTAGAAAAAATTCACAGTTTGAATCACTGAGTAGGCTCCACCTGCCACTTCAGACAGTGGAATAGGACAGACATGAGAAAAGCACAGTATCAATCTGTTATCTACCATTTAACAAGGAGCTGATGGAAACACATTTATTCTCTCTCTCTCTCTCTCTTTCTCTCTCTCTCTCTCTCTCTCTCTCTCTATATATATATATATATATGTATGTGTATGCATGTGTATGTATTACATGGACTACATTCTGACACACTATCTAGACATACATATGTACACATATTATGTATATACCTATTTGAATATATGTATATCCTTTGGCACCCCTTTTTCCCCCATTTCTTTTTCTCCCAAGTCACAATGATTTAAATGTAAAGTCTCCTTTAATTAAGTCATGATTTGTTTTTGGTTATCCAGTCTCATCTTTCTTCAAGAAACATTGCATTTTCCTCTGCCCTTTTTTTGGTTTCCTATTTTTATTTAAGATGAACTACTTTAAACCCTATCGCTACTCAAATAAGAATCATAGGGAAAGAAAGACGTAAAAAAAAGTTGTAAAGAAGAAATAAACTCAGGGTGTATGAAGACTCATGGACCACAGACTCCCACTCTGCTTTACATGTGTCAAAACTCCAACAACCCTACTCTCTCCTCACCCAAGGTAACACAAAGCTTTATCATTATTACTAATTGTCACTTATAATTGACCTTAAATTAGTGCAAAGCACACTGAAATTATTTTTGGTTGTTATTCCTCAGAATAATTCTAAGAAATAGCTCATGATTTTCTTAATTCTATCCAAGTGTTAGAACCAAGAATAGTGAGTCTAGGTTACAAGAACAGAGAGATTTCAGCTCAATAAAAGGAAGTCAGAGCCAGTAGAATCAGCCTTCTGCAGGGGCTGCCTGCGACACGAGACAGTGATGCCCCAACTCTTCCCACCCGGACTGACTGTACCTCTGATGGATATACTCTCGTGTGGCAGTGCTCAGACTGTGCTACTGGTCATCACTGGGGTGCACATGAGAAAACAGAACAACAGTAATCTTTTTTCCCAAGCAACAGAAGACGTTCACGGATATAACTTTCTCAAGTATGAGTTTCTATGCT